CATTGTTGCTAAAAAACTTACTTTCGAGAACTGGTTGGTACATACGTGATAGAAAGGGTCAAAAAAGGATCTGAAGAACATTTTGTTAATGTTACCCATATATTATCTTGAACTTTCTATTGGTAATCAATTTGTTTCTTTCATGTTTTTTTAGGTTTTCATGGTCTTTTGCTAATAAATATATGTATAGACACATGTATATTCAAGAGCTCTCTTATTATCCTTTAATTGATTCAACCATGGTATATATTTTTTATTATGAAATAACGCTTTTTACCATTCCTAAAATACGTTGTTTTTTTCCTTAATTCGAGGTCGAGAGCACAACAGAATCGTAGAAGACCTTTGGGAATAAAATACAGCAGCATCTCTCAGGAGTCTGCAATTCACACCCAGGACGAAAATCCACGCGCCGTGTAACAGGGGCTTCAGAAACATATTAAAGCCATGTTACACGTAGCGTGGAGAATAAATTTACATTCCACGCGTCCGCCACCGCGTGAAAAGAAGTCAAAGAAATCAGTAGAACGCGCCTGTTTGTTCCACGCCGCACCGAACCCGTTACACGGAGTGTCGATTAGCAATCCACGCGCTATGTATCAGCGGCTTTATAGATATTATTAGGCCGTGTTACACGTCGCATGGAGCGTAAACCTGTAATCCACACGCTGTGCAACGGAGCTACAGACATTTTAGGGCTATGTTACACGGCGCGGGGTGTGTGTGGATCGGCATTCCGCACTAGAACACGGTTGTTCGCTCCAGGCCGCGCCGAACCCGTTATACGGAGCGTGGAATAGCAATCCACGCGTTATGTATCAGGGGCTTTATAGACATTTTAAGAACATGTTACACTGCGCGTGGAGCATGAATCTACATTCCACTCGCCCGCCGTCGCCGAGAAATGAAGTCAAAGAAATCAATAGGATGCGCCTGCACGTTCCATGCCGCACTGAACTCGTTACATGGAGCGTCGATTGACAATCCACGCGTAATGTATCAGGGGCTTTATGGACATTTTAAGAACATGTTACACTGCGCGTGGAGCATGAATCTACATTCCACGCGCCCGCCGTCGCCGAGAAATGTAGTCAAAGAAATCAATAGGATGCGCCTGTACGTTCCATGCCGCACCGAACACGTTACATGGAGCGTCGATTGACAATCCACGCGTTATGTATCAGGGGCTTTATAGACATTTTAAGAACATGTTACACTGCGCGTGGAGCATGAATCTACATTCCACGCGCCCGTCGTCGCCGAGAAATGAAGTCAAAGAAATCAATAGGATGCGCCAGTACGTTCCATTCCGCACCGAACTCGTTACACGGAGCGTCCACGCGCCTGCCGTCGCCGAAAAATGAAGTCAAAAAAACCGACAGGACACGTTTGTCCGCTCCAGGTCTCGCCGAACCCGTTCACGTAGCGTGGATTGGCAACCCACGCACCGTGTTGCAGGGGCTTAAGAGTCATATTAAGACTATTGTATATGGCGCGTGGAGCATGAATCTGCATTCCACGCCCCCGCCGCCGCCGTTGTGACCCGTTAAACTAGACGTAAATTGGCAATCCACGCGTCATATAACTTTAGAAGCAGAACCAGGAGTTCAAAGAGGTGGATATAGACTTAGATTATATTACTGTTTGGAAATAGTTAGAAGTAAAAGTTGCTCCAGTTTTTGAGAAACGCCAAAAGTGGCTGAAGATAGGCCGTAGACCTTACGATGCAGAACAAGTATTTCGGCTTTTGACGACAACATGTATAAGTAGGTATCGCACCCTTATAATTAGTAATTAAAGAAGTCGTATAATTAATTGATCGTCGAGACAGTTTATTGCGAAATCGATATGATTTAGTAGTCATTTAGGTCATCGACGAGCTAATACCATCGTACTAGGTAGGTTGCCGTTTACTTAATACTTTATCTATCGGGGATTATGCGGTGACAGGGTCTGTAGAGTCCCGTAACTGAATTAACATACTTGGTAGGTTTCAGAACAACAATATTGTGTTCTCAATACACTATAGGTGCCATATACATACACCGCGTTGCATGCAAACGTATGTAAAGGGTGTGTATGTATGTATACATCGTACGGTAATACATACGGAGACGCCACCGTAATTTCAGCGGCGCATCTACTAACTGTAATTGTAATTTATAACAAAAGGGACCAAGCGGCAAAACCGTAGCATAATGAACTGCTAAATCCCCCGCTTTAATGTACGAAATGAGTTATGGCACGATTAACAAATAAAAATGGCCGCGGCGAAGTAAAACTGTGTTAACCCTTGAATGCGGACAAATAAAACGTTACGACGCGACGTCACGTTAAACGGCCGACTTTTTCATTCGGAAAACAAATGAATGCTCAAGAGTGTTGAAATTTGTCGCCTATTTTCTGGTCTATGTACATTACTAAATCATTTTTAAATGTTTACAGGTTTAATGTAATTGCCCGCTTTATTGTCTAGTTCTGATATTTACAAGTGCTATAAAACTGTATATTTAGGATTACAGTTAGGATATATTTCCCCAGAAATTTTTATAGCCAAAAAAGGTTGTTAAAAAAAAATTATTTGGCGTAAAAAAGGAAGATTTTTTAGGTCCTAGCGGTTCTTTTACGGTTCCTTGTCCAGAATTCGCAAATGTTTTCTAAATAAAAATTTGACCACAGTAAATTTTGACTGTCAACTTTAATTTTTTTAATTTATTATTTTGGTATTCCTAGACAAAAATTTTCAGCCTCTCAGAGCCTTTCAGCATCTCTGGGAGCGTCTCTCACAGTCTGTCAGTTATTTTCTAGGTGTTCTTATGGATCTCTCGCAGTCTCTGTATGAGAGACTCGAACGATAAAATTGTTAATTCAGACATTCGAGTCTCTCACAAAGAGACTGAATGAATAAATCTGAAAAATTGAAAGACTCGAGTCTCTCGTAGAAAGACTGGAATCTCTAAAATATGTTGAACTTAGAAAACCATGTCTATCGAAACGCCACTTACTGAGAGATTCGAATCTCTCGTTCAGAGATTCGAGTTTCTCGTTCAGAGATTCGAGTCTCTCGTTCAGAGATTCGAGTTTCTCCTTCAGAAATTCGAGTCTCTCGTTCAGAAACTGTTTTCAGAGACTCTGAGGGACTGAACGTTTTTATCTCTAGATGCACTGCATGTAGTTTTTAGTTTTAAAATGTTACTCATTATTTTCGTTTTATTTTAAAGTTTCATTAGAATTTCGGTTTTTGTTTTACAGAATTTATTATTTATTTTGAAGAATATTACTTTATTTTTCATTATTCTTCAATTTTGTTTTAATCCTAAACATAAAAGTCCCAAACGTCGCATCATTATTCACAAGTATTTAAAGAACGTATTAATGAACATGTAGCCTTTAACAACAAGAATTCATTGAAAACAAAAAAGCAATACTATTATAAATTAACTAACTTCTACGTTCTTACAGAGTCACGGGTGAGCTCACGCGAGTCCTTTCACATCGTGCATCATTTTTAGCTAGCACCTATTAGAGATAAGGTACCTATCATGTGGTGAGTGTTCTACTTCATTTAACAAGTACATTATTATCGTGTCTTTATTGTTGCAAAGTAAGTTAAAAGTTATGGAATTATTTAACTTTATCAAAGCATCATATAATTAATGTACAAAGTATGCGACATAAACTGTAAAAGCTTTTTTATTTGCCAGAATAAAAGGACTATAAAAGGAATGTAAAAATTACATGTCAGAGTTGGACTTTTTCCCGACATGTACTCGTAGGTACATTACTTTTATGTTCATTTCTTAACTTATTTTCTTTGATGATCCAACAGATAAAGAGAATATGCAGCTCTACGCTATAAACTGCGAGAATGTTTAGACGTGATTACTTTCTGCAGAACTTTTAGGAATTGGACGGTTGAACGTAAATTTTCCGTCAACTTCTGATGTGGTAGACAAAATGACAATAGTTACGAAAAGACATTTAACAGAACTAGACTTAGACATGGTCGAATTTTTGTTTTTTTTTATTTCTAGGATGGAAATTGTGTTCTCTTTTTAGTAAAATAGGACGACGTCGAGAATTCTAAAATATTCCGTTTCAAATTACCACTTGCTTATTTTTGAATTTTAGGTGACTTTGTTGGCTTTCCATTATTGCTATGTTTCTCAAGGCGAGGCGTGATGGTACATAATCTGAATTAAAATACTTTCCTAAATAAATAATAAATTGGTTCTTATTCTGGAATTCATGAATCTTCGTCAAGATCTTTTTCTCGTTATACTGGAAAAGATAACACTTGTCAATATAAATTAAGAAACGAAACAACGGAACCTAAAATTTTGGAAAAAATACGGAAAATAATTCTTAACTTATAGATTACACGAAAATTAATAAGTAGTCTATGGTTTGAACATAACGTGGTGAATCCTTCAATCCTTTATTGTAGAATTACCCAGAATCACGCTGCCGAGTACTCAACACCATTATCTGGTGCCTGGCCGGATTCTAAAGAAGTGTACCGGATCTAAACGGGTACCCGGCCTATTTCTAGTTCTTACATTCCTGATATGGGCAAGGGAAAAAAATAGGGAAAGAGCGAACATAAAGATAGGAGACGAAAAATTAGAAGAAGTGGCCGATTTTAGATACCTAGGAAGTCAGATAAGTCAGGACGGAAGGAGTAGTAGGGATATATAGCAGAGGATAGCGCAGGGTCGTGTCGCCTATAATAAAAAGAAATCACTTCTATGCCCGCGAACGGTTAATTTGGAAATTCGAAAAAGGTTATTAAAGATGTATGTTTGGAGCACGGCGTTGTACGGGTGCGAAACATGGAAAGTGGGCGCGGCGGAAAAGAAAAGATTAGAAGCGTTCGAAATGCAGTGTTATAGGCGGATGATGAGGATATCGTGGGTAGAAAAGGTTAGAAATGAAGAGGTATTGGAAAGAATAGGACAACAGAGGACTCTATGGAAGTCAATAAAANAAACCCATGTTTCTCACATGGTCAATTGTATGTTGCCTGTTCCCGTGTTGGAAAACCAACAGATTTGTTTATCTATGCGCCAGGTAATCAAACAAAAAACATCGTATACCACAAAGCACTACAATAATAATAATAATAATAATCTCTCGCTGGATGGCTGGATCAAGGGCCAGATACAGAAGGCGGTAATCCTGGACACGGCGCGCATTGTCAGGAGGTTCCGAAAAGTAGAGGTACGTGTCCAACCAGTCTTAGGACTGACGACCTTATGATGATGATGGGCCGAAAACGGAATCAGTAATGAAATGGCTACCCTTCGGTTCCTTTTTTTTTTATTTAACACTCAATCTCATTGACCTAACTCTAATAATAATATCTATACATTAAAATTGTCCCCGTTTCTAACTGACGAATATGGAACACAAACGAGTTCATTAAATCTATTCGTTCTTTACAAAGCATTTAGGCATTTTATGTAGAAATTTTCATTAACAAAAATTCGTAAATGTGCTGCCATTCAGTTGTGTGCGCTTCCTATTGAGAGTTTGTGTTCACTAGTTAAAGAAAATTTGGAAGTAGCGCTCAGGCTCGCAAACTGCACGAGTCTAGGCTACCTAATTAGCAAAAAAGCTAAAAAAATAATCGTTGCAAAAGCTTTTCATCACTCACATTCCACTTGGGACGAAGCGGTAAAGCTGAATTTGTTCAGTTATTTCGTTAAACTCAAAGTAAACAATATTCACGGATCACCTGCCTCTGCTTACATTATATTTCATCAGACTTTGTAAATAGTGATGCTCATGAACTCGGTGCGCCGTATTTGATTTTGCTTTAGTGTTGACACACTAAAATCGAGTTCTTGACAATTCGCTTGTTTGATGGATACATGCAGTGTTTGTATTTAGGAAAACTACAGCGAGATACTGCTAGAAATTCGTATATAATTTTCAAACTGAATTATCTACTCCAATGTTCACAACATCAAATTATTAAAAGAAAAAACACGAATTCGCTGCTTTTTAATGATTAAATGACCCACGAAACATCTCACCCCAACATAATAACGAACTGCTAGCATTTTTATATAATTTTCAAACTGAATTATGCACTCGAATGCTCACAAAATCAAATTATTAAAAGAAAAATCAGAAATTCGCTGTTTGTAATGATTGAAAGACTTGCTAAACATCTCACATCAACATAACCTAATTCTTTTCTGTTTTGTTATCTTTTCCTCTTCTTAACGGAAAACCAAGTTGCTAACAATAGAGAAAATATGAAATTATCTATCAAATGGTAGGGATTTAAATATTTTTTCGATTTCTTTACTGTTCATTACTTACTGTGGTAAAAAAGTGAATTTTTCTATAAAACTAGTGACGCTTGAAGTAATTTTCCAAGAAGCCAACCTTTACCTTACCCTTAATAAAGAGGAAATATTTGTCTATAAAATACAGACTCCACAGCAATCTGATAAAACATTCGTTTACCTTAATTTTAGATACTTACACACTTATGTATATTTTGCATTCATAATCTGGTCAGTTATTTCACTGCCTTTGTTGTCTCATTTGTTAGCAATACCTTTTTTACCAATTGACGATGTCATAATACACACAATCATGTACAGCGGAGGGAATTTGGCTTCTATTTAAATGAAAAGTTAAGTAGAAAGCTTGTTATTAGCTGGTACCACTGCAAAAGCGTTTCAAAATTTAATAATAAAGCGGAAATCTAACGCGCCTGCTGTTGACTTCAATAGCCAACCTATGACCTATTCGACACCCCTGAAAAGTTTGTTCAATAGAACCACCTGCTCGGCTGCCTTTTACTGTAAGATCGACACGAGTCCGCAGACACAAACGCCCTTAATACAAAACAATGTTATGTAATTGCAACCCTCGCAGATATTCTTTTCAAAAAGTGCGCCACTGATTCTACAAACTATTGTGACAATTATTTTATTATTTCAGTAGGTATACTTCATTTACTTTCTCTAGTGATGTGTCCCTTCCAATGTCTTGGATGCGCGCTGGCAAAATCGTAGGTAGGGAGAAAAAGCTCATTATACTCTCAACTCTTGTTCATTAAACATACTTTTTCATACAGTACCTGCCAAAAGTTTTGTTCAGTCATGAATAGTAGTGCGAGTCGAAAACAAGCGTTAAAGCTTTTAATATGTCTTCAAATATAAATAAACATCTCGTTGATATTTTCAGTAGTAAATGGTACCAATAACAGCACATTTGAACAATGCAATTGTAGTGGATAAAATGGTCAATTTTTCCGTGCAGTACTGTACGGATTATAAGCTCCTCACCGGTTAAGAGTTTGGCCGAGAGTTGCCTCCTTCCTTTTCTGGCCTGGTGCTGTTCTTTTCTACTTTGCGCCGGTCAAACTGAAGGTCACATAGCTACAAAAACTAAACGAATAAAACAACTATACGTGAGAAACTGAAGCATTATCATAAAAACAGTTGCACAATTAAGATAATCAAAACAAATTACTTATACAAATATCTGAACATTTACAAATTTATCTATATATNTTCCGACTGATGTGCCATTTGAGTTTAAACGACTACAGTTTCCAGTGCGGCTTGCTTTTGCTATGACTATAAACAAGTCCCAGGGGCAATCATTAAGTGTTTGTGGTATTAATCTAGAAAACCCATGTTTCTCACATGGTCAATTGTATGTTGCCTGTTCCCGTGTTGGAAAACCAACAGATTTGTTTATCTATGCGCCAGGTAATCAAACAAAAAACATCGTATACCACAAAGCACTACAATAATAATAATAATAATAATCTCTCGCTGGATGGCTGGATCAAGGGCCAGATACAGAAGGCGGTAATCCTGGACACGGCGCGCATTGTCAGGAGGTTCCTCTCTCTGCGGCCCTAACCGCCGGTAGCTTGGGCCCTGCCCCGTTGCTGGCGGCACCCTAGGTTAGGTTTTTTATACTGTGTTTATATTTTGTACTGTATTTTTTATTTTACTTTTTATATGCATTTTATAAAAAACCTAGCCTAAGATCTAAAGTAAATAAAGGAGATAATAATGAACATTCAATGTCATCATATGTCATTTCATTTTAGCAGCGATAATTATTCTGTTTAAATAAGTTTAAAATCCCCGGTCGAAGACGGGGCGAGCAGCTAGTATTATATAAGTACAAGATACCTTGTACCTGCAAAGAAATATTTGCTGTAATAAGAATCTCGATTATCATTTTTACATTACACATGATAATGTCGACCTTCTTCTTCTCGCGTGATCAACAATTAATGGCCTCGTCAAAGAAATGTTATTCAAAAAAGATGCATTTTATTATTACACACACTCAGCCTTGCCAAGGTAGATACATACGTTCGAATGTAAAAGTAATCGAACCTTCCATGGGTACTTTGCAGAACGCTATTTGCTGATCAATTCTTATGCGTTATTCATAATAGAACACGGTGTATCGATCAACCTTTTCAAGCAGTAACAAGCGATATCCATTTAAATAAAATATTGCATTCAAATTATTCCCCGAAGGCGTGTCAATAATACGTTGCACACATGTTAAATACGCAGAATAAGAAGTTATTAAATACTCATGCGGTTTTTTCAATTATTTTTTATGTTAGTTAATTATATATGTTTAAAGTCTGACTCAACTTTACCTAGCTTCATCCACTAGTGAAACAGTAGTATCTAAATACCAAGTAATGTTACTCTATATTAGTCACAAACGACCTTACAATATTTATATATACAAGGAAATGCAGTTTTTACTCGCTATTAGCAGTAATATTAACTAAAAGGGGATTAAATTCTTGATCGGTAATTTATTTGATCTCATCAACACGCCATATGCAGTCTCAATAATTCACTGTCCAAATGGAAGGTGCTTCATGCTCTAACATTTGAAATATTTCAAATAGCAGTTTCGTCGTTGTTACTGCTGTCACCTCTTGTAGCTTAGTCAGAAGAGAATTGGTATGTAAAGCCAAAGGTGAGGGGTTCGATTCCCGGCCAGGGTGTACTAGCAGCAACAAGTAATTTTCACATTAATATTAAATATTAACCACTTTTAAAGTATTATAATATTGCGTAGATATATGTTGTCCTTAACAAACTTGCTATTTTTGTGGAAATAATAGTAAACAATGACTAACTTAATGACATAAAAAGGAGTAATTTCAACCACTCAAACGATCGAGAGAGTCGGAACTAATTTCCAATTGGGAAGCTGATGTCTTCCCATTAGACCACCACGTCTCTTGAAATAGGTGTAATTAGTTACGTTTCGATTCTTACTAGTTATACATCTCTTGCATACAAATATGCTTCTTTTCTTAGCCCTTAATTTCCTTTTTCTCTTTTAGTTTTCCTATTCAACTCGGTCCGGAATCCAAAGCATATCATGTGTTACAAAATGACGTTTTGTTTATTATTTCAATAATTAACAACTACAAACGGAAGTAGGGCAAGTAGTTTGCTGATTACTCACAAGATGGTGAACTTACTTCTAGAAATACTCTACCAAATGTAACTTCTTATTTTTTTTATCGATTAACTGTCCTTCCCTAATTTCAAATGGCTTTCTCGTATCCAAAGTCACACTCGATATATTTCCATTTGACTTTTTCGCATTATTCATTTTCTAACTGGCCACTTCTCCTTTGAAATATAGAATATATGTCGTCTTCCATTTTCCTCGGATTTGTATTTATCTTTCCTATGGATTTTTTGGAGTACAGGCAAGAAGCTCTATGAACTATGAATGACGATTTATATTCCATCTTATTCAAAGAACATTTGAAATTTAAATACGCTAATGATTTCCCACTGAAAATGCAAAAATGTTGCATTATGGATGGGGTAAAGGCTAGGTGGATTTTACCTAAAATTTTACGTAGACATTTAATTGATAAATGTATTACTTTAGTTTAAAACTATTTATTATTAATCAACGAATTTCGAGGATGAGAAATCTTTGCCACAAATTAGTTAAGAAGAAATCTATTTCTAAGATATTCTTCTAAGTTTCTAGATTATTTTCCTATTATATCCAATTACAAGTATCGCCATCTAGTGAGTATTTGCTAGTATTAATGGATTTCATGTGTTAAATACATTACTGACCAAGAACTTCATAGATCTTCACTCTTCACCTACATTAAACTAACCGTTTTATAATGTTAATATATTTATGTAAAAAACATATTCGGAAAATTAGAGAAAAAAGTAAACTAATAGAAGATTGGATGAAAGCAGTAGATGAAATCAAAGAAGTGAATTCACTCTTCACCTACATTAAACTAACCGTTTTATAATGTTAATATATTTATGTAAAAAACATATTCGGAAAATTAGAGAAAAAAGTAAACTAATAGAAGATTGGATGAAAGCAGTAGATGAAATCAAAGAAGTGAATTCCGGAATAAAAATTTGTTCACGTCATTTTAATGCACATGATTATATGTCAGCAAGTATTTACCATCAGCCATAACCTTAATATTTAAAACTAGAATCATACTAACATTATAAAGTGAGAAATTATTTATTCCTGTGTAATTGATTTAACACAATTCTAATGATACGATATAAGTATTTTGAGGTTAAGAACCTACCTGCTGCAATACAACAAAGTTGCAATAATGTGTTTGCAACGTTCTCTTAAATCGGCTTTGCACGTGCAAGTCATTGATATGATATTGCTTAAATCACCCAGAATCACCTCACCAATTATATAACGTGAATCACTTTTTAAATCCGAAGTTTGTAAAAAGTAGGCAGTAAACTTGACGGAATTTGAAGGCTAGCTTCCGGATTTGTTATTTCCGAATTTTATAATGTGATTGGCATTAAAAACACGCTCACCTTCAACGAAATTTCCTTTCCGAGGCTTTGTGTCAGCCCAATCACATATTGTGTCAATACTTATCATTTTATCGTAATTTAAAAACTTGGAAATTGCACGGTACACTATAGGAACTACGATAAATTTTCCCTAATCGGCGCCATGTTTTTAGGCTCCTCCCATTTGACGGATCCCAATACCCTCTAGTATTTTATTGATTAAACGTTGCAAAAATTTAGTATCTACAGTCAATATTCTCTTATTTTTAAACTACCACTTATTTCGTTCTCGAACTTATAAATAAGGACGTGCGGCACGATAAGGATTTCCACTTTACCAAAGCCGCCTTGTTATTTTGACAAATGGCTTCCTCAACTTACTACTCTTTAGTTCAGTGCCCTGTATCTGCACTGATTCGCCTGTATATCCTTCGATATATACACAAGTGATTTATTTATTATTACGCCATTAACTTACACAAACAATGATTTAATGTAATGTGAAAACGTAACTTCAGCTAGTGTTTAAGAAGCATAAACGTTCAGACAAGTACAAAATGTCAGTCTCGTAAAATTGTCTAATGATTCACATGAAAATTGATTAGCTTTTTTAAAAGGTAGTTTGTAAAACGTGTAAAGTTTTCTTCCCTTTCTGCATAGAATACAAACAGTAGTCAAACTCTACAATGTATTCTCGAATAAGGTATTAGTTGTCAAAACAATTGCATAAAAAAGGCATTTTATTTATTTTTCTTATCTATTCTTAATATTTTTAGTAGTTATTATCCTTCCCTAAGTCTTTACGACTTATTAAAATGTTTAAAAATACAATTCTTATAATGAATTTTCACTTTAAAGGAATATAATTGTTTGCAATTTTATTTATTTATTGTAACAAGTTTACGTCTATCCTTTATCTGAAAATAATGAAAAACTGTAGCCTCCTTCCAAGTTAAGATAAATTTACTCCAGGGAGAGTGAAGAAGTAAAGTCCCTCACGCCCGGGTAACTTTCAAAGGATTAAACTTAGATTGGTGAAACTCCATCGTATGAAACTGTACCAAAAGTATGGGATAGCTACTACGAGTATTATGATAAGAAGGAAATGCCTTTATACTTTGCAGAATTTTCCACTATTTGCTGCTATGTTCGTTGTGCGGAATCATACAATCATATTAAATTGTGGAGATTGCGATGAAGTACTTATATATAGGACAAACTGGTAGATCTATCAAAGACAGAATTTAATAACACTAAATCAGTTTTTTAATAATAAAGGTATTATATTTTTGAATATTATTAAATGATACCTAGCTATAGTTTTAAAAGTTTACGGCTAAAATTGTTTGTAATTATAAATTTATATTGTTATTTTATAATGATATAAAGATAGGAGACGAAATATTAGAAGAAGTGACCGATTTTAGGATCTAGGAAGTCAGATAAGTCAGGACGAAAGGAGTAGTAGGGATATAAAGCAGAGGATAGCGCAGGGTCGTGTCGCCTTTAATAAAAAGAAGTCACTTCTATGCTCGCGAACGGTTAATTTAGAAATTCGAAAAAGGTTGTTAAAGGTGTATGTTTGGAGCACGGCGTTGTACGGGTGCGAAACATGGACAGTGGGAGCGGCGGAAAAGAAAAGGTTAGAAGCGTTCGAAATGTGGTGTTATAGGCGGATGATGAGGATATCGTGGGTAGAAAAGGTTAGAAATGAAGAGGTATTGGAAAGAATAGGAGAACAGAGGACTCTATGGAAGTCAATAAAAAATAGGCGAGATAGGTTGGTAGGACACCTTCTCAGGCATGAAAGTCTAGTCAGAGACATATTAGAGGCAGAAACAGGAGTTAGGAGGGGTAGAGGTAGACCTAGATTAGATTACTGTTCGCAAATGGTTAAGGATGTAGGCTTTTCTAGTTTTAGGTAAATGCGAAGATTAGCTCAGGATAATAGGAAAGAGTGGAGGTACGTGTCCAGTCTCAGGACTGACGACCTTATGATGATGATGCTATTTTATGAAACTTGTGGGTCAGCCTGTATATGCATAATGTATATTTAAAATCACGTTTGTTGCAGTCGGTGAGAATTCGTACGAGAACGACCTGAAGCCCGTTTAATTACAGACAGACATGAAAGTTTATTGATGAATTTTGTTGACTAGTTACTGGCCGATTGCCATTTTGTTACATAATGTTATTAAACGAAAGCCTTTTTTCCATTTTAATTAAACCCAACGTCCTCATTCTACAACAGCGGACCGGATTTGATAAAGGTTTGTATTAATTAGAAACGAATTACAATTGCAATTATATGAAG